GTTGCTGTGCGCGCCGGGAGTGTTCCTCACCGCCCAGCTCCCAGCCCACACTTGAACCTGCGGCGGGAGGGGGCGGAGCCAGGGCGCCGCCTCCAAGGTAGTTCACAGCCAGAATGAGCCGCAGCCTGCAGGTCCCCAAGTCCAGATGCTGGGCGCCGGAACCAGTTTGGCTTAAAGCTGCGAACCACGAACCGGAGGGACATGCCCAGCCACTAAACGGAAAAGAGGACTTGGTCAAACCTGGTTATACTTGGCGGGAGGTAAGGAGAGGAACAAAGGTCAAGTGCAGGGAAGGGTGGTGGCTTGGGTGTGGGTAGCAAGGGGCCCTGGGAGCCTCCTCTTGCTAAGATGCCAGCCTCATTAGTCAAGCTAGTCCTCACCTTTCTTTCTGAGCACTTCCTCCAAGAAGCCTGCCGTGACTAAGTAGAATCAGAGGAGACCTTAGAAAGACACTCAGAAGCCAAGAGCTTTTATGTGCCTTCCCCAAACTTTCAGCAGAAAAGGGAAAGGGAAAGAAAAAGCAGAGGAGGAAGTGTGTTCTGTGCACAGAACACAGGTTGCAAGCATCCGATACGGGCGTGTCAAAGTGCCGCTGCTGGGTCCACGCTCTGCCGTCTCCCGGCTGTGTCAAAGCTGGGCTCCCCTGGGCTTCAGTGAGGTGCACACTGTTTCCACCCGTGTGTCAGGTCGAGGGGAACAGACAAGGGGAGAGACACCTGTCTTTAGAGCAGTGGTTCTCAACCTTCCTAATGCCGCGACCCTTTAATACAGTTCCTCATGTTGTGGTGACCCCCAGCCATAAAATTATTGTCGTTGCTACTTCATAACTGTAATTTTGCTACTGTTACGAATCGTAATGTAAATATCTGATATGCGGGATGTATTTTTCATTGTTACAAATTGAACATAATTAAAGCATAGCGATTAATCACAAAAACAATATGTAATTATATATGTGTTTTCCGATGGTCTTAGGCGACCCCTGTGAAAGGGTCGTCCGACCCCCAAAGGGGTCGCGACCCACAGGTTGAGAACCGCTGCTTTAGAGGCAGCAATGGGTCCATGGCAGTTTGCAAGCACCTGTGGAGTGGGCATCCTTGCTGTGAGCACCATGAGGGATTTGATCCCTGTTCGGCCCAGGTAACTCCTGCTCACCCTGCAGTGTCCGCCCAGGTGTCACCTTTCCCAGGAAGCCTTTCTTGACTCCACCCCAGACAGATTTATGTGTCCATCCTCCATGTGTCAGGCAGCCTCATTAATAACCCTATAGTGGAACTTATCGCACCGCGATGCAATCCGTCATGTACTCATCTGTCCCCTTCACTTGGCTGTGTGCTCCTCCAGGCAGGGCCTCCACCCCACTCATCTGTCTAGCTCCAGCGGGCACCTGGGGGTACCCAATTCATGTTTGATGAATGACTGATACTGGCATAACTGGGACCTTCTTTAGGGTCCTGGTTACATCAGCAACCTCGGGGTGTGTGGGAGAGAGCTTTCTGGAAAAAGAAGCAGCTAACGAACCTTACAGGTATCCCAGATTCTCAGCCTGGAGGGTGTAATTGTGTGCGCCTCTGAGAGATAGTGAAGCTAGAAGACGCCTCAGAGAGCATCTGGTCCAATCCTCTTGTTGAAATGTGGGCAACTGCAGAGCACAAGAAGGGAGGTGCCAGTTAAGGCCACTGAGCAAGGTGGTGACAGAGAAGGATCAGCCCACCAGTGTCCCCGGCCAGAGCTCTTTCTATTAGATCGCTCTGCTTCCGACACTGGAAATTCACACTCCCAATGTACACACAGTTCGCTTCCTGTGTGCCAGGTGTAAGCTGAGTATGTTCCCTGGATGCAGAAATCATGACACCCAACTCTTCTCGCCCTTCTCACACCCTACTGTTTCTAGTAGAAAAAGGAGACCCACACCCAAGAACCTATATGAGGATCGATGCCCCTTAGTTCCTGAATAGGGGAGGGGGGCAGGCTAAGGGATCAGACTCCTCACCAGTCCCCAGTCCCCAGCCTTGTGAAACACCTGTGAGACTAATCCCACTGATAAAGCACAGAGCCACCTGCCCAGCCCCAGTGATATCTGAGGATCTGAATCCAGAATTGCTGCCACGATGCCTCCAGGGAAAATACCAGCAACCAGTGAGTTCCCGGTCCAACCTGAGCAACCAGAAAGGGCAGCTGCTTGGGCTGAATGTGGGTGGAAATAGGGGACAAAATGACATCTATTTGAAAACATGTATTCCGCTGTTGTCTACTTTGAGGAATAGGAGCTCCTGTTAATTTAGTCACAAGATTTTTATCTTGTTTATCTCTAATGGAGACTGAGGTTCCTACGACCATTTACCTAGTCAAGAAAAGGCCAGTGGTTGAGATTTTGAATGTGTTTTACTCATTTGAACTAAGAAAAGAAATCAGGTTTGAAAATACTTTTCTGTGGCATATTCTCTTTTTAAAATATATTTTATTGATATTTTACAGGGAGGAAGGGACAGGGATAGAGAGTTAGAAACATCAATGAGAGAGAAACATCGATCAGCTGCCTCCTGCACACCCCCTACTGGGGATGTGCCCGCAACCAAGGTACATGCCCTTGACTGGAATCGAACCTGGGACCCTTCAGTCCGCAGGCCGACGCTCCATCCACTGAGCCAAACCGGTTAGGGCCTGTGGCATATTCTTGCCAGTGACTTTCCATTCGAGTTCTTTGTTTGTTAATCCTCACCCAAGAATACTTTTCCATTGATTTTTTAAAGAGAGTGGAAGGGAGAGTGAGAGACAGAGAGAAACATCGATGTGAGAGAGACACATTGATTGGTTGTCTCCTGCATGTGTCCCAACTAGGGCCAGCCTGCAACCAAGGTATGTGCCCTTGACTGGAATTGAACCTGGGACACTTCAGTCCATGGGCAGATGCTCTATCTATTGAGGCAAACCGCTTAAGGCTCCATTTGAGTTCTTGATTATGAACTATTATCAATATTAATACAGCCCTGGCCGGTTTGGCTTGGTGGTTAGAGAGTCATTGAGAATCTTAATGAGATTATTCTGGATTATTTGGGTGGGCCCTAATTTTAATGACAAGTGTCCTTATAAGAGAAAGGCAGGGGAAGACTTGAAAAAAATGGAAGAGGAAGAGGCAGTGTGACCACAGAGGCAGAGATTAGAGTGATACAGGACAAGTCAAGGAATGTTGACAGCACCAGAAGCTAGATGAGGCAAAGAAGGAATTCTACCCTAGAGCTTCCAGAGCGAATATGGCCCTGTCGACCCCTTGATCTCAGACTTCTGGCCTCTAAAATCTCGAGAGAATGATTTTTTATTGTTTTAGGCCACCCAGTAGCCATGGGAGATTAATATAGTACCTACAGGAAAATCATAACTTAATTATGATTTTATCTGTTATTTTCACTTGTCTAATATCCAACCTTCCTTCTTCTGTTACTAGCCCCCTGAGTTTCCTTTTGACATCTATCCTTCTGCCACTGTCAGCCCTGTGGATTGGGTGGGCTGGCCCCACCCCCACCCCAGCTCCATTGGAGAATGGATACTAATGTGGCTAATCTGTCTCTCTATTTCCCTGGACATAGTGATTGATTCAGGAAGGACCACGTGACTCACACCAAACCAATGAGATTCCATTTTAAGAAGATCCCAGAATTCTTGGGAAGCCTTTTTTCTCTTGGATTTGAAGCTGGCATGTGTCACTGTGATGCTGCTGGGGAGAGCCTACTGAAAATGAAGCCAATACAGAAAAAAGTGGAGCCAGAAGATGGAGAGAGACTGGGTCCCCCTTATATCCCATAAGCCCTAGAACCCAGCTTGCCAGAAAAGGCTCTACCCCTGGAATTTCGGTGCAAATAAATACCCTTATTCACTTCAGCCAGTCTGAGTTGGGTTTATACCCCTAACAGAAAAGTCCTGACCAATATAAAGGTCATAGTGTCTTGTGACCCTGTTTCTTTGGCATAACCAATGTTTCTTTGGGAAAGCCAATGAGATAACCACCTGCATTTGTAGAGACTTGAGAATAGGAACTCTTCTCTTCCAAGGAAACCACAATTTTAGATCAAGAAAGAGTCTTAGCCCTGGCTGGTTTGGCTCCGTGGATAGAGCGTCAGCCTGTGACTGAAGGGTCCCGGGTTCGATTCTGGTTAAGGGCACATGCCTAGGGTTGTGGGCTCAATACCCAGTGGGGGGCATGCAAGAGACAGCCAATCAATGATTCTCTCTCATCATTGATGTTTCTATCTCTCTCTCCCTCTCCCTTCCTCTCTGAAATCAATAAAAAAAATTTTTTTTTAAAGGATCTTAGTGGTCATCTAATCCAAAGCCTACATTTCCCCCTGGAGAATACTGGAGAACTTGGGGGGAGTTCCCAGAGTTGTGGCAATTCCATGGTAGCGCTGGGACCACAACTGAGGTCTCCTGAAAAGCTGATCAGTAGAAAACTATATTTCAAGACACTTGCTTCATCATTTAAATATATTTGGTGAAGAGACTCACATAGTTACAAGAAGATTATAACACAGTCCTCTGCTCTATGAAAGAATAAACACACCAGTAATTTTTATTGAGAGCTGATGTTTAATAGTTATATTCATCTGCAACTAGGTCACCAGCCGTTGGTGATTTTTTACAGGAATTAGGAAGCAAAGGAAGAGAAGGCAAGGGCCGTGTCTGCTGGGATTAGATAGATGATGGTGTAAATATGCAAGAGCCCAGACAAACTCGCTGCTTTTTTAAAGTTGTGCTTCTAGAAGAGCTTGAGAGAAAAGGTTTTCGTTACAAAAACGATTGTACTTGTGTTGGTAACCAGAGGATTGTAGGATGTGGAGGGTTCCCTACAGCCAGTTGAATTGAATGACATTTGTTCCACAGATATTTATTGAGTACCTTCTGTGGGCCAGGTACTCTCTTAGGCATAGGGGATGCAGGAATGAACAAAACAGAAAGTACCTGCTCTCATTGAGTTTACATTTAGTAAATATCGAAGATGAGTCGATGGAGTACAACCGAAAGAATAGAAGGGGTACGATGCTGACATAGTGTATTTCATATATTTAAATAGGGTGGATGGGAAAGGCCTCACTGAGAAGAATGACTTTTGAATAAAGACTTGAAGGAAGTAAGAGAGCACAAACCACGTGGACATGGGGGAAGCGTGTTCCGGGCAGAGAAAGTAGTGAGTACAAAGGCCCTGAGGCAGGAACACCCTTGGAGAAACAGTAAGGAGGCCAGTGTAGCTGAAGCGGAGTGAAGGAGGGAGAAAGTTGTAGATGAGGACCCAGAGGGTTAGCAAGGCAGATCAATCCAGGCCTTTGTAAGTAGATTTGCTGTTATTCTGAATGAGATGGAGGATTGCATGGGGGAGTGACGTGATCTCCAGGACTTAACTTTTTAAGAGGATTATTCTGGCTGCTGTTTGGAATAGGGTAGAAGCAGATTCCCACTAGAAGGCTATTGCAATTATTCAAGTAAGACATGATGATGGCCTGTTCATGGTGCTGGGGGGTAGAAGCAGTGAGAAGTGGCCAAATTCCCGGTGTCTTTTCAAAGTATAACTGACAGGATTTGCTGATTGATTGCAATTGGACTGTGAGAGGAAGGGAGGAGTTCAGTTGACTCCAAGATATCTGACCTAAGCAATTGGTAGGATAGAGTTGCCATGGACAGAGATGGGTGTAGGCTGCAGGGAGAGCAGGCGTGCCCGGGGAGCATGGGGAAACACAACTTCAATTCTGAGCATTTTAAGTTGGAGATGCCTGTGAGATACCCAAGTAGGATACCAACGGGAAAACTGGATACGTAAGACTATCTCAGGAATAGAGATATACATTTGGTGTTTTTCAGTGATTAGAGTCTTAAAGCCATGAGGCTGGTTGAGATCACAAAGGAAATGAGTGTAGGTAGGGAGGAGGCGGAGATCAAGGGCTGAGAACTGGGACACTCCAACTTTTAGAGGTCAAGTTAATGAGGAGGAACCTGCACAGGAGGCTGAATAACAAGCAGCTAGTGGAGGAGGAGCCGAACAAGAGAGAGTAGTGTCCTGGAAGTGAGCCGTGAGTGTACTCACATCAGCCACAAGGAGAAGGCAGGCGCGAATGGGGCTTGTGCTCTAGAAGGGCTGAGGTTGGGGTGGGTTCCATCTGAGCAGGAAGCGACTTGCACTCTTGTGTGAAAGGGTGGAGACACAGCTCAGGCTATTTTTAAGTTGGTCTGAGAAGGGGCCTGGGAAGATGATCATTTTGGCTAATGAGCCCTTGCTCAGTGAAGAGAAGTGCGCCTGAAATGTGCTTCCTTCAGCTTCATCTCGGAGTCTCTGCTCTGGCTTCTCCTGGGAATGGCGCCAGCCCGAGATGGCTGGCTGACTTTTCCTGCCAAAACGGTGTCGGGGAGCAGAGAGCTGGCACTGGCAAGTGCCCGGAGAGGGAGGGGAGGAATGAAATTGTCAGTCATCAGCTCAGGACAAGAGATGCAGGCTGGGTGGAGCCCAGAGGGATAGCCCAGTAGCCAACCTGCTGATATTTCTTCTCTGGCTCTCTTCTTGAATCTACAGCTTAGGCAATACTCCTTCTGTACTGACTTTAATGTGTGACCCGAGGTTTTTCTAGAAAATGGCAGCTGGGGATCGCTTTGGCACTTCCTGAAACTAACCCAGCAAGCGTTTTGGTTCAGCTTAGTTCAATAAACATAGAAGGCACCAGTAGGCCACTACCTCTATGTTAAAACTGTTCCAGCTTTCAGTGTCTTCCCCTCTCATCATGCCACCCACCAGTCTACTCTTCTGTCTTCTATGTTCATCAAATACCTGGGCTCCTGGTTCAGCATCTTGCTCTCCATCCCTTAACTCCCTCATTTTGGGTGATTTCAGTGCTAATGTTAATGAACTATCCATTGTCCTAACCTCACAGTACTTACTATCCTCAGCTCCAGGGATACGCACCTCCACTTCAATAAGTTGCTCACACCCAAGGCCATACCTTAGATTTTCTCATCATTCAGATTTATTCCCACTTGGGAAACATAAACTCTAATCTCCCACTTTCTAACCACAGTTCTGGTCTTTCTAACACCCTGATTCCTCTCTTCCCTTGACACCTGTCTCTTGCCTTACTACAGTACCTTTAGCCTTTCAATTTTTTTCCTACTGTAGCCTGCTTCATTCCTGCACTATTTGGCCCAAACTCATGGCCTCACTTCATACCCTCACTAGTCAGTTTCCTTGTTGACTTGTCTTCAGCTTTGTGCACACTGTAAAACCCTACTCTGGATTAATCTGCCCCCTTTTCTGCTCCTATGCCCAGGAAAATATCCCACCAAGCCATCTGGAGAAATTATAAACAAATGGGACAACATCAAACTAAAAATGTTTGCACAGCGCCCTAGCTGCTTTGACTCAGTGGATAGAGCATCCGCCTGTGGACTGAAAGGTCCTGGGTTTGATTCCAGTCAAGGGCACATGCCTGGGTTTCGGGCTCGATCCCCAGTAGGGGGCATGCAGGAGGCAGTGGATCAATGATTCTCTCTCATCATTGATGATTCTATCTCTCTCTCCCTCTCCCTTCCTCTCTGAAATCAATTTATACACACACACACACACACACACACACACACACACACACACACTTTTTTTTTGCACAGCAAAGGAAACCATCAACTAAACAAAAAGACAACCTACCGAATGGGAGAAGATATTCATCAACTATACATATGATAAGGGGTTAATATCCAAAATTTATAAAGAACTCATAAACTCAACACCAAAAAAACCCAAACAATCCAGTTAAAAAATAGGTAGAGGCCCTGACTGGTTTGGCTCAATGGATAGAGCGTCAG